GTGCACGAGCACGTGAACCACTCTCTCGCGCATGGCGCACAGCGCCCCGCGCCACACTGCGCACCGTACCAGTGCGCCGCAACTATGAGTGGAACTCATGTGTCTGTATGTACCTTGTTTTCTAAATGCTCCTGCATCTGCCTCTCTTTTTCTTTTTTCTTTTTTCTTTCTTCTTTTTTTTTTCTGTTTTTTTAAGCTGTCTTCTCCTCATATGGGGGACAGCTGTATTCGCGACGTTATTTTCTTCTCTCAACGATTCCGGAACGCGACAATGCGATAGACACACTGTTTCGGCAACGTGTGGAGGAGAAGAAGGGCGGAATCGCCCAGACTGCACAGAGCGGATTCTGCTCTGATGACGATGACTGAAGACCCTGAGCGTGCAATTCCAATTCAATGTAATGAGAGAACGCCGGAAGTGTCGGATCGCAATCGATTGAGATCTTGAACGTGACATTGGAGTCGACATACTGTTTGCGGGTTAGTTGCTGAGGATGGGGGGTGTGCGCCCCCGTGTGGCTGAAGTATTTAATAATTTTTGACAGACGCATTTTTCGATATGATATGCAGTTAGCATTGATGTTTACACTTCTTTAGAAAAAAAAAAAAAAGTAGTATTATACAAGCTGGGAAATGGGCCCGGCATCCCTTACTAAACGAGGAGGGCGGCACCTTGAGATTTCCAAATCAAACACCCCGAAGAGGTGATGTGAAGGGAAAGAGTCTGTCTGTCTGTCTGTCTGTCTGTCTGTCTGTCTGTCCTGTGCGTTTGGACATTACAGCAGCCTTGCAGGGGTGGGGTGGATATCAGGACCGGTACAATTCCACTTTTGAACACCGCGTCGGGGCGGTGGTGGTTTGAAGTGACTCAGCTCCTGTGGCTGAGGGTGCTGGTTGGAGGCCGGGTGTGCGCGGCGGGGCCCGAAGCCCTAAAGCACGGATGAGTGATGTATTGTCCTTCCTTTACTGCGGTGTGAAGGCTGCGATAAAGAATCGCTCTCTCTTCTTTTTTTTTTTTAATGTTTACACTATGAACTGTGCGCTTTTCGAGAAACAGGGTGGAATTGCCGAGGCAGCGGATGTCATGAAAAGGAAGAGGGAGGTGCACGAAAGAGTTATAGCTGCCAGCCATGAGAAAGCGAAAGAGCGGGAGCGTGCACGTTTGCAGAACTCGCGGGAGAGCGATGAGAGCGAGGATGAATCGGAAGACGATGATGATGGTGTTCTGACCGACAGCGAGGTATATATAGTTTCTCCACCAGTCCTTTCTTTTTTTATCTTTTCTTTTCTTGTGGGGAAACTTTTCAAATGCCCCTCCAAGGGTCGACTTACCCTGTCATGCCCCTGGGTCCTCTGAAATGTTTCCTGCAGGCACCTGTCAGTGAGGGGTGCAACTTTCCAGCATGCCCCTGTGGCCATTGGTGGCACTCACAGCCGGCTGTTCCCCTGGCCCTGGGAGGGGGAGCTACCGGGGCATACTGGAAATTTGGGACCAGTACCGGTAGGGGCATATTGAACATAATGCAGGCCCACCAAACGACACCAGGGGTTTTTGGAAACTTCAATCATTGTCAGAGGGGCGCGACGGGTAAGTAGGCCGTCAGAGGGGCGTAACGCAAATAAATGGAAGTCGGAGGGGATTTTCAAAAATTTAAAATTTCCCCTTTTCCTTTTACCAAAACAACAAGGCCCCTTCTATCTCCATCACACCTGTCCTTTTTTTTCTTTTCTTTTTTTTCTTTTCTTAATGCAAAGCCCCTTCTATTCTGGGAGGCAACAGTCCGCTTGCTTATCACCGGCAAGCATGTTTGTACATCCAGAGAAAGGGGGAGATCAGATCGGAAAAGGGGAACAGCCTAGCCCTTGTGGCATTGATCGTCTACCATGGGGGGACCTGCGAAAGGGGGCCCACCCCCCCAAACCGTGGTCTTCCTCCGGGGGCCGCCTACGTTGTTGTTGTTGTTGTTGTTTTTTTTTTTTTTTTTTTTTTTTTTTTTTTTTTTTTTTTTTTTTTTTTTTTTTTTTTTTTTAGACCATTTCTCGATTTATGTGTGTCATCCTTGTGCAGTCGCCATGCTGATCTTCTCTGTATCGTTCCAGTTTTAATCTTTTAACGGATGTCCCAAAGGACAATTTCAGAACGTTTCTTTATCTTCTGTCTGCTTGGAATACTCTTCGCTTTCGTGTTTTTTTTGCTGTTGGAGGAGACAACGACGCAAACTTTGTTTGTGTTCCACTGTGCCTTCTTGAACCCGAATAAATTTTGAAAATTATCATGGCTACAGAAGACCCAGGCACTGGGTCCATCCGGACACCAGGCACCGAGCCCTTCCGGACACCGGGCACCCAACGGGGTCCAGACAACCACATCTGATACGGACCAGAAGGTGCCCTAAATATGTTTTATAAATTTATATTCTACTAAATTTACTTTTGGATTTGGTTGCGATTTTCGAAGTGCGACCCTTGGCCAAATGTAGTTTCAAGTTGTTTGTGTTCTGATGCTGTGGCACGACGTAACTTATTTCCATTTTTTTTGAATTTAAATAGAAACTTTAAAAAAGCGGGACGCATAATTGTGTATTTTTTTGATCCAGCGGCCTAGCTCAGTTGGTAAGGCACACAAGTGGCATTCAGGAGGTCTTGGGTTCAATCCCCATTGGCCTCATGTACCTTCCTGGGCAAGCTTGGCGCCCCCCACCTAGAGATATGCCGTTGGTCCCCCCGAGTGGCATTGAGCAGAGACTGCTGATGTTCATAAGGGGAGGGGACCGGAGGGGAGGCACAGTGACTGGCCCATCGAAGAAGCTCCGTCCTGATGCTACCGGCTGACCCCTGGCCGGTATCGCCCACCTGCTGTAGCAGGTATCGCACCTGCTTGTGTGTGCAGCTCCCGCATTTTCCCTCGTTGGAGGCTTGAGCACGGATGTGGCTGCTACGGGGTTCCCCGTAATACTATAATGACAAGAAAAAAAGGCCTGAAAGGCCGTCCTGTCCAGATTTGACAGGTAATTGAATTGGTTGGGCTATTATTAGCCTTTAAAAAAAAAAATTAAAAAAAATTGTGTATTTTCAATTACTCCGGAAGTTCGGACAGGTCTGCTGACATCCAGTTTCCGGACCATGGACGGCAGACAGGGTGCCCGAATGGTAGCCACGAAAAATAAACTGAACAACTTTTGCCTCAGGGTCACATCGAAATTCTTCACCAAATTAAAAAAAAAGATATTAAAAATATTGTTTGTTTGTTTTTTTTTTTGGCCCGGCCGGGCAAGTGACCCCGGGCCACTCTGGTAGCCTAGCTTTTGAAGTTTTAAACCTTTTAACTTTTTAACTATGCTACCAGGCCAGATCCCCGGACCCCTCCTCCAAGCTGTCGGGAATGTCGGGTCGTGCATCTGCCCAGATGCAGCCCAATGCGAAATAGGGGCGGGGGGCTAACTCTACCGTCTTCCCCCGAACACAACGCACCATTATTTTGGCTGTATCTGGCCGGAAATATAACTTGTATACATTCATTTTTAGGTTGCGTTATGTTCGGGGGAAGACGGTAGT